TCGCGGCGCGACGCGGCTCGGCGCATGACTTCGGGCTTAAGGTACCTTTCCCGAATTGAATGAATGCCCCCTCGATTCAACGGTTTGCATCGAGAGCGAGGCACAGGACGTGGGCAAGAAAGATCCCATGCTGTCCCCTGCCACGGCCGCCGCCGAGGCAGAGGCAGCCATCAGCGCCACGCCGCCCTGGCGCCCGCCAGGAGCCACCATGGCCCAGTGCCCAGCAAGAGTCAAGAGGGCCACGACGTCCACACGGTGCACATGACAAAAACCACCTTTTCCTCCTCGTCCATCCGTTCCGGTCCGCGGCCGGACCGACTTCGAATCCCGCCCCGACGACGCGGGAGCGAGCGTGGTGGTGGTGGGGAGCTTGCAGGTTGCAAGACCCAAGCCAAGCCAAACCAAGGCCGCCGCCGCCGCTGCCACCGCGCGGTGACGTCCGTGCTGCCGTCTCCGTCGACCTGGACCGAGTGGAGCCGCGCGCGTCCACGTCTCCGTGGCCTCCCACTTGCGTGTCGTGGTCGCGTCGCGCGTGTTGAGCCGACTCCCAGCCTCCCAAGGCAACCCCGTCCAGTGGTCAGTGGCTCGGTGCGATGACTACTGATGGGACGGGGGAAGCACGGATGCAACAGTGGTTTCGTCGATTCGCCGGTTGCTGTCGATTTCTGATACTACCGTTTGACTTCCCACCAGCAGCTAGCGCGCGCCAGGGAACCAAATTAAATTCCGATATCTTCTATAGCTTGTTTAGCTACATGCCGGTCCATCACAATACATATAAAACAATCCATATATAAAATTAAAATAAAAGGTCTTGGAGTGTATAACTAGTTGATTCTCGATCCTAATGTCTTGCAACCCATATAGATTAGAGTGAGTTGGCATGCAGTTAAATAAGCCCTTAAGGGTCCGTTCGGTTACCCGGAAACGAAGCTAAAAACTATTCCAAACATTATACAAATTATTAAACCATTCCAGCCGGGAATGATTCTAGAGCCCGTTCTAAATAACCGAACGAGCCCTAAGAGAATATAAGGAAGTCTTGATTTTTCTTTTGTTTACGTACTTTATGAGTTTTAAATAAATCAACTTTTAGAATCACGGTAGGTCAAACCACTTTAAGTTTATTTCAACTTAAGATAAATTTTAAAACACAATTTTACTCAGCATAACTCCAAAAGTTGATTTATTTTGAAAAGCAGAACTATGGGGGTGCCCGCTGCGGCTACTTTTAGCTACATCTAAGGCTATGTCTGCACACAATAGACATCTTTCTACTGTGGCTAGAATAGAAACACAACAGCCACGGCTGCAACCCCAAATCAGAGTCTACGATTTTTTTAAAAATTATGTGGCCTTTAGCGGAAACGTCCTAATAAGACAGAGATTGATTTCCGTTGAACTGCCAAATTGATTTTTAGCTGTTTCTTGAGTATAGGACAAATCCTTGAAGCGTTGCGGTCTGCCTTTGTCATCTCTGAAACCACTTGTGTGGGGATACTTGCTCATCCTAATTTAAGAAAGGAATGGTTTTAGTTTGGTAGGGATTCTCCAATCCATTTGACGGATAGTTGTTGGTGACTCCACAAGTTGGTTGTGCCTCGCAAAAAGGATCTCCGCAGCGCAAAGTAGTACGGAGTAGGAATTAACTGATCGACTGTGTTGTTCAATAGTGGATGGATGCATTGTTCGTTTCAACAAATTTTGATTGGTTCAAAGACGGGAAAAACTAGCCCAAGTTGGGCCTGTATAAACCCCGTCGAAATAAACCACCCGCAGAACCTTCTCAAATGCAACCGACCATGCAACGTAGAATTCCAGTTCCACCAAGCATCATGCCGTCCTCGCCAGTCCAGAGAGAACGGCAGGATTTCTAACCATGTGAAACAAAAAGCACAAACAAATAAAACGAAAAATCAGATTGTTCTGTTTGCGTTAATCCTCTGCTCTACTCCTACTCGGATCTTCGGATCATTGGATCATGGGGGCTAGCTCCACAGCTCCATCTCGCCGGCGCCGCAATCTTCATCCTCCTCGGGGCAGTCCACGGCGGGCGGCGGCGGGTCGATGAGCAGCCCCTGTGCCAAGCTGGCGTAGTAGGAGCCGGCGTCGTCCATGCCGCCGAACACATCCAGCTCGAGCATGCCGCCGCCGCCACTGTCCATCGCCGGCGGCGCGTCGTCGGCGTGGTCCACGCCCGCCGTCGCTGTAGCGGCATTGGCCTGCGAGGCGGCGTTGGGCGCGTCCCCGCCGCGCTGGCGCTGCATGAAGCCCGCGACGGCCTCGGTGGCGGCGCGCTGGACGTCGGGGAGGCCCGCGGAGGGGTCGGCGGGGCGCGGGACGTGGAGCAGCCATGCGGAGTCGGCGAAGTTGAGGCATGCGGCGTCGCCGCAGAGCGCGAGCATGGCGGCGTCGTGCGCGCGCGCGGCGGCCTCGGGGGTGTCGAACGTGCCCACCCAGAGGCGGTCCCCGCGGCTGCCCGGCACGCGCACCTCGCACACCCACCGCCCGGCCCGGCCGCGCCGCCGCACCCCGCGGAACACCGGGTGCCGCGTCTCCTGGAACTTGGTCCGCCCCGCCGGCCGCTTCGAAGAAGGCGATGATGCCGCCGGCGCCGGGGGCTCGGTGGTGCTGCCCTTGAAATTGAAATCCATGGCCGTTGCACTTGTTGGTCGTTGACGCTGTTGCGCGGGTTCGCGGGCTAGCGAGCGTATTTATAGGTACTCCTTCCTCCGCGACCGGAGACGGAAGCTGATGATTTAGATTTATACCGTGTCGGAAGGAGAACACGGGTTTGGTTTGGTCTCTCTGGCGTACCGTACGCAGAAAACGTCTGTGATGGCTGCACTGCGCCTGTGTTTGACATGTTCCGGCAGGCAGAGCAGAAGCAGAAGCAGAAGCAGATGGGAACCTTCGTGACCGGCGGCGCTGTAGCGCACAGCCGCACGAACCCAGGTGCTGGGCTGGGTTGCCGCGCCGCCGAGTCCCCCGTGCGGGGACTGGGGAACGTCGACTTCGCCGCCGCGGCCGATTGCTTAGCCGCTTCGAATGCGCGGTCGGTCGGCCAGCCAGCGAGCCAACGCCGTCGCGGTCTCCCACGGTTTCCAGGACCGGGCGTGGTGTGCCAGACTGCCAGGATCGGATTACGGCGAGCTGACCTGAGCTGACGACGATATCGGGCACACGCACACGCCTGCAGGCTGCTGCAGCGGCGGATACCAAGGCACCTGCCACCGGGATCACCGGGATACCGCCATACCGGCACCATTAGCCAGAAACGGGCTAGGAGTATTTCCGTTTCCGGTATGCCGATGCACCACCCGTGGGCGCGGCGGCTGGTTTTCTGAGCATTTTCTTTCCCTCTTTGGGCAGGCTGCTCTGCTGTGCTGGTCCTGTGCGTACATGGACCATGCCAAATTGTACACTTGCACCATCACACACAGAATGCGTTCTTTATGCAGTAGTAGCAGCCATATGTTTGCACAAAGGGCGCGTCTACTTTGCGACCACCCTCCTCGTGTGAGTGCCAACCAGAGGGCTGACTGAGGCCCGTCTAGATACATCACCCGGTCGCTAGCTTGTTATCTTACCTTCTTCGATTCCTCACACGCTGACGCTGGGCGTCATCTCGTCTCCTCCAAAATTTGCCTTCTTCCTTCACCCGCGCCCAGTTAGGTACCCACAAACCACCAATCTACTGCCTGGTCTAACATGCTCCGCCACCTCTATCCTTAGAGCAAGTATAATAAGATTGTATACTGACGTGGAGGAGGGATGGGAGAGAGAGAAGACAAGCAGACTATAGCTTATGCACAGAAACCAATAAGTTCTATGAGACAGAAAAGTGAGTTATAAGCCGGGTAACTATTATACGAGTAGGCTGATAGACTGGCTGTAGGCTGTATTATTAGCCTTGCTATGTGTGTGTGGGTCGCGTCATAATCATCATTGATTACCTTAGCCAACCAATCGTGGGGTTTAATTTCTATTTTTGGTCAATTTCATCCGATCTCTCTCCTTTTTAGGTACCTGCATACTTTCTAAAGCCGGTCTCGACAAAAGTTCTATGAAAGTTTTATGGCATTAAGGTGTTGTTTGCTTGTCTTATAATCCGTACTTTTCAGCTTGTTTTTTCAGCCGGAACCATGTTTTTCTCTCATAATAAATCAGCCGGAACAGTGTTTCGGTTTGTTTTTTCAGCGAAGCGAACGGGGCCTAAATAAGTTACCAACTTAGCAAATATACTAATATGACACAATATAAATGATGAGAGAGATAATCAAAATTGAACGGGGTGAAATAAGTTTCATGGAGATAAATCTAGTCTACATGTTCCTTCCTAGTTCCATGATCGTTGGCTCAACATATTCTCACTGTCTGCATTCATTGATTAAACGTCTACTACTTTTAAAAAAATATTGATTCAATATTTTCTTTCAATCAACTTACTATTTGCAATTTGTTTACTCGGCATTTTAGCTGATTCAAACTTTTCTATATAAGACTTGTTGGTTTAACAATTTTCACAAAGGAATATTATTCAACCTTTTTAATAGATTTTTTAGTCGACACTTTCATTCAATATTTATAATCAAATGAAGAAGTGCAATATTTGTGTCACCATTTCTAGGAAAACAATGCCAATAACACTTGCAAAAATTTACGCGTTCCATGTAAGAACTTGACAATCGATATGTTGTACCAAAGGATTCATTCTAATTCTGTTCTGATAGATCAAGTGGAATGGTCATAATACGGTACATTGCTTAAGTGATCGAAAATAGTTGAAATCAGCATACCAGATATCACCGTGTGTTTTCGAGGTGCAACATTTCTCGACTGAAAACAACTACACATTCTATTTCTACCATTCCAGCAGAAAAGGATACCACTGCTGCTTTTCTCTGTTTCACTAGGATTGTGGAATATTCACATTACCCACAAAGGAAAGAAGAGATAATCTGTACGACTACAAGCGTTCGTCGATTTGTGTTTCAGTTTCAGTAGGACCAGAGCGCCACGCCAGCAAGGTCGTCACAGTGGCTGTCGTCGTCGGCGCACGGCGCGTCTAACGGCGGCGGCTCTATGAGCAGCCCCTGCGCTAAGCTGGCGTAGTACAAGCCCGCGCCCATATCGCTCAGCATGTCCAGCTCGAACGGCGAGGCCTCTCGCGCGTCGTCGCTCCCGGACGACGACGAGGAGGAGGACGCCTCTGTCTCCGTCTCCGTGGCCGCGCCATCATCATTGACCGCCGCCGACGGCTCCGAGGTGGCGGACATGGCGTCCTCGGCGGCTGACCGCGCCCGGAGGAACCCCTCGACGGCCAGCGCGACGGCGCGGCGGACGCCGGCCGTTGTCGGCCCGGGGCGGCGGCGCCGGCACGTCCAGTAGCCAGGCCGAGTCCGGGAAGTTGAGGCACCGCGTAGCGGCCGCGGCGGCGTGGCCGCCACGGAGGGCGATCATGGCGGCGTCGTGCGCGCGCGCGGCGTCCTCCGCGGCGGCGAAGGTGCCGAGCCAGATCCTGCAGCCGCGGCGGCCCGGCACGCGGACCTCGCAGACCCACCGCCACCGGCCCCCCGCGCGGCCGCGCCGGCGCACGCCGCGGTACACCGGGTGCCGCGTCTCCCGGAACTTGGTGCGCCCCGCGGGGCGCTTGGGGCTGGCGACGTCCTCCGTGTGCTGCGCCGGCGGCGACGGCGGCGTCGAGGCCGCCGACTCGCAGCAGGCGCTCGGCTCTTGCTTGATCTGGCGCGCCATCGGAGAGTGGCAGGTCAAGACTGAGGAGTGGTACTGGTATGTCGTCGTGCGAAGGTGGCGTGGCGTGGGAAATGGCGGTTTGGAGCGCGCGTATTTGTAAGTGGCCGCCGGAGGGAAGGCAAGGAAGGCGCTGGCAGGAAGTGGAAACTGTTTCGTCGTCCTGTGGGCCGTGGGCGAGGACAAGACCGAAAACAGGTGCCGGTGCAGCCGTGGGGAGGACGGAGGAGGTGTATCCGGTGCCCGTCGCGTGCAGCTGCAGCAGAACACTAGCCAGCCAGGACTGGTTTAGTTCCCAAAAATTTTCGTCCCAAATTATCGCATCAAATCTTACGGCATATGCATAGAGTATTAAATATAGACAAAAAAAAAACTAATTGCACAGTTTGGTTGGAAATCGCGAGACGAATGTTTTAAGACTAATTAGTCCATGATTAGCCATAAGTGCTACAATAAATAACATACGCTAATGATGGATTAATTAGACTTAATACATTCGTCTCGTAGTTCCCAGTCGAGCTATGTAATTAGTTTTTTTTATTAATATACGAAACCCTCTTCCAACATCCTAAAACATACGACGTGACGTCAAAAATTTTCATTTCACGAACTAAACACAGCATCACTAGTGTCACTAGACCAGGCTGGCTGTGCCTGTGCCTAACCGATCTGCTATCTATCTGCCAAACAGTGCCATAAACAAGTGCGGCTTCAGCAACGGCTGCCCGAAGGAGCGCGAGGCTCATTATCCGTTTGGGCAGGGCGAGGGAGGTGCACACCGTGGCCTGCCGCGGGCCACCGAAATCAAAACCAGACCAGTGCATGCATGCAGCGCCAGACAGCAAAATTTCGGTCCCAGTCCCTGTGCGATAACGACACCAACAAACACAGCACAGCATGCAGCCGGGCTGCCGCCGGGCATCAGTAGAAATTACGCACGGAAACAGAACAACTTGCACAGCACAGCAGCCGGAAACAGAACACCCGCGCGCGGGCAGAAATCCCGGTGCCACTTGCAGAGAGACTCTCGCCGAACTTGTCGGAGGAAGGACCGCCGGCCGGGGACCCCAATTTTTTACATTTCGACTCTTTTTTCGAAGAAAATTTACGTTTGACTCGTAGAAGACTTAAACTTATCTTTGAACCCTAGCGGTTGGCGTCATGAGTCCTGACGTCGAGGTAACATGTCTCGACGCCATAGATCTTGGCTGCGAGGTGCCTGGCCGTGCACAACAGAGAATCCTAGGTGGCGTTGACGTGGCCGGTACTTCGGCACCAGAATACATGGCGTATTCTGGCACCAAGCATGCATTCAAAGCGTGCGCGCTAGAATACATAGCGTATTCTGACGCCAAGCATGCATTCAAAGCGTGCGCGCCAGAATACATGGCGTATTCTGACGCCAAGCATGCATTCAAAGCGTGCGCGCCAGAATACATAGCGTATTCTGACGCCAAGCATGCATTCAAAGCGTGCGCGCCAGAATACATGGCGTATTCTGACGCCAAGCATGCATTCAAAGCGTGCGCCAGTACCTTGACTGCATGTCTCTATCCACTGTTGTTGTGCGCTACTACTAGCCTATTACTGTACTCCTACCACTAGTAGCAGGAGTAGCAGAGCACGTGAGGCGCGGGGGAGGAGGAGGACAACAGCTGGAGACAGCGGCGTAAATGCTGGCATCTGCGCGCGCGCAGCGGTAGGTAGGAGGAGTAGCACTTTTTCCAGCAAACCCAACAAGACATCGGTATGAACACTGTACTTAGACAAGAGTGGATCCAAAAGTGCTTCCCTGAAAATTCAAAGTAATCTTTCAAAGGAAAATTCATGCATCAAACAAAAGAAATAAATGGGAAAATTCATGCATCAAACAAAAGAAATAAATGTAGATTTACCCATGCCGTTCTATTGCCACAGATATCAGTATGTAAAATGATATGGTATAATTGAATGGAAAATTCACTTTAGAAGGCTTAAACAAACTCAGAAAAAAATCCACATTGTGCTAAACATTTCAATGCAGGTGTATGGACAGCTACCATGAAAAAATGCTAAAATATAAGAGTTGCTTGAAAGTACAAAATAAAAAGAACATTATGAGAGAAAAATAGAATTACGTATCAACGTCTGTTCTCCGGTTCCTACTTCCTAAAACAATTATGGGCCTGTTTGGCAGGGCTCTGGCTCCTCTGAAAATGGCTCCGGCTTCGGCTCCTCTGAAGGAGCAGCTCCTCTGGAGGAGCTGAAGCTATTCTGGAAAACGTTTGGCAAAACGGCTCATTCGCACTAGACGACGTGAACCCACAGCAAGGAGCCGCGCGAAGCTCGTTTTGTGTCTTCTCCTGCGCAGGCAAAAAATGGCTCCAACTCTTGACCGGCTCCCTATACGGAGCCCTTTCCAAAACAGGCGTTTGGCACAGCTCCTGTAGAAGCCGGAGCTGAAGCCCCTGCAGGAGCCCTGCCAAAGAAGCTCTATATATGGGATTGTACATATAAAAAGGAGACCTGAAGGCTGTAGTGCATATCATGTATGTGTACACCTTCTAGAAACATACCCCATTATTCTTGGAACTTAAATTATTGGGATGGGGTGGTGGGGTTTAACAGTTGAGACGAGGAACCTAAACGCGCTCTGCTACTCCTGCTATCAACAGCTGCGTGCGCGCAGATGTCAGTATTTACGCGGTTGTCTCTGGCTGCTGCCCTCCTCCTCTCCCCGCGCTCCACACGCTCTGCTACTCCTGCTACTAGTGGTAGGAGTACAGTAGTAGCGCACAACGGTAGTGGATGGAGACATGCAGTCAGGCTAGGTGCTGGCGCACACTTTGAATGCATGCTCGGCGGTAAGATCTGTGGTACTGAGCTCGGTGCCATGTATTCTGGCGTCGAGGTACCGGCCACGTCAACGCCATATATGATTCCTCGCTGTGCACGGCCAGGCACCTCGGAGCTAAGATCTGTGGCGCCGAGACGTATTATCTCGGCGTCAGGACTCATGGCGCCGGCCTCTAGGCCCAAAGATGAGTTTAAGTCTCTCAAGGACTAAATATAAATTTTCTTCGAAAAAATATCAAATTATAAAAAATTGGGTCAGGGGACCAGCTCGGGCCGACGACGACGAGAGCTCCACCGCGGCGGTGACATGCGCGCTGACGCGCCGCGCGTGCTCCCGCTCGTGCCGCATTTTTCACCGGTCGGATGACTGTCGCTCAAGGGGCAGGGGGCGCCGGCGTTTGCCAGTCTGCTCTTTGTTCAACCGGCGGACCATGCATGCAGCCGCTGGCAGCTAACAGGAGGAGGACCATTGACCAAACCAAGAGTGAGCACATCGTCCTTAGCTCGTGCCAATCAGTGAAATGGAATTATCCACTTAGAGCAAAAATGTAATACTCCTACTGCAATACGAGCTGGTGATGGCTAGTACTGACTAGTCAGGGACGAAGCCAGTAAAAAATTATAGGAGGGGCTGAATAAAAGAATAAAAACTTTTTTATTATTTTTTAATATTAGCGTGTCCTACCTAATACATATATGTATAAAATTTAAGAAAGGGCTTAGGGGAACTCCACATGCTCAGGATCGGTAGGGGGGACTACGGCCCCCCTAGCCCCACCGCTGGCTCCGTCGCTGTAGCTAGTGGGTACAGGAGGCAAAGAGCATCTCCAGCGGTACTCTAAATGTCTATTTAGTAGGCACCTATTTTTATGTTACCTATATTTCGGTTCTAACTCTAGCAGTACTTCCTAAAACAGGCTATCGAAATTAATCCTCGCAAAGAATGACGCGCGGATCCCATATGTCATCCTCCGTCTTGTACTCTTGGCTGATGTTGGTTGCTCAGCGCCGGCAAGGAGCGTGGCTGGCAGCGGGTGGCTGGCTGGAGAGGCGCGCGGGGCCAGGGCGGGCCTTGAGGTGGCCTCCGTGCCGCCGGGCTAGGCCGCCGGGGAGGGCCACGCGGGGGCAGGGGAGGCGCGCCGCCGGGAGGCAGAGAGATGCGTCGATGAGGCATGGCCACGCGGGGGGATGGCCGCCGCATGCCCGCGCCGGTGAGGAGGCCGTGCACCGGGGGACCCGTGCCGTGGAACAGGGCCGCCCGCAGGCATCGCAGAGCCGAGGAAGGCGTCGTCACTAGGGGCAAGGATGGCTAGGGCGGGGTGGAGGAGGGCCGGCGTTGATGGCAGACCTCCAGATCCGGCCGAGGTGTGGTGGAGGAGGGCCAGCGGTGGTTGGGATCGGGAGGAGCGAGGTCGGCATCGGGAGAAAGACGAGCACGGGCAGGAAAACCACCGAGCAAAAAATAGGTAGCTAGGTTTGTTGGCCCAACAGATGTAGGTAGTGGGAGGGGAACTTTATTGGGTTAACAAAAGTAGGTAGCCTGTTGGAGTATGTTTTTTTGGCCTCCACTATCTAGATATAGGATAGATTGTGGATTTAGGTAGCCTGCTGGAGATGCTGTAGTAGTAATGTGCTATTTTATGGTTTTGGCTAGTTTGTTTTTCATGGCAAAACTTTTGCCCTGTACTTTTAGCATATTTTTTTTGGCAAATGGATCCAAACAGGTAGGCTAAAAGTGAGCAAAAGATGAGACTAAAATTTAGTCAATTTGTACACCAATAGTGCAAAACTGAGCTAAAAGTATTAGGGTTGTGAATGATACCTTATTTTGCACTTTTAGCCCTTTTATTAAATACTCAAATAAGGACTAAAGTTTAGCGGCAAAAATTTAGAGACTGTCAGGTTCCTTTAGCCCGTGTAAGCTGACATATGTCCTGATGTCAACCATGAGTCACGACGGCGGCTAGGATTGTGCGACTGACGGCATCAGCCCTTACATTGCAGTTGCGTGGTTAACTAGCGCTAGACAAAGATGACTCATCAGCCATCGGGTTCAGTTTCAATCTTAGGACCTCTTTGATTCTTCTTCATTTTTAAAGTACTATACTCCTAGCCAAAGACCTCGTTGCCTGTACGAATATTTTTCTAGGAAAAGAAGCAATATTTCGATTCGTATGGGGATTGACAAGGTACTCTTCTATGGGATTCTAGCTCCACCTCATGTCTGAAGTCTGTACGCCAATCGATCTCAAAGTTGTTTAAGTACCTGCTTTTAAATAAACTAAACAAAAATGAAAATAAGAGGGTTCACCTATACATTTCCGTGTACCCTCTGCTTCACCTTGATGGCTCCAAATAAGGGCATATATATACTTCTCCACATTCTAAGATGCATTTATGACAGTAATTGCATGTTATCCACCAAGTCTGTTCGTTTGGCTGTGGCTTGTCGTAAACGATCGTAAATTTCCAACCAGAATAATATTTTTCTCTCACACAAACCAGCCAGCAGTACTTCTTCACGAACCAGCAACGAAACGAACTAGCCAACCGAACAGGCTGCAGATTAACCCCAATCTGGGACAAGATTGTGTTCAATTATGCAGAGGGACATGACACATCTACAGAGACATGAGCTGCCCTCCGGATGTTATAACATGGGCTTTAGAAAACTAAATAGGAATTCTGTTTTTAGATTGCAGATAAATTTAAGGGAGTTGCTACTGTACAGGCGCCTGTTTTTTCCAAGAAAATCAGGCGACGTTTGCTAAGCAGTGGTCATTCGCTTTGTGCCTCCTTCCATCAGCTCAGCAACAAAATAGCGGACGGTGCTCTCTACACGTCGTCTGAGAGCTCGGGCGACTGAAGCCGAGGAAACGTGCAAATTTAAACATTATCGCCTACCTTCTATTTGACATCCACATGAATTATTCACATTAAGCCAATTCATATGAATTCATCGTACGATGAGAAGTGTACATATCTAGTATTCTTAATCTTAGTAATCCTAGTAGGTTGTACCATGAAAATTGAATTTACCATAAAATTCACAGCTAAAAAAAATGACAATCCAATTTGATTTTGAACTCAAATTTTAATGCAAGAAACATGACACACATCCAAACGTGAATTTGAAAACATGTGACATTTTCTCCACATTTTGATATTCATTTATGATAATTATTATAGCCACTGAACTTTCTCCTCACTTCTAAGTTTTTTCTTTTAAACTACCTCACTTCTAAGTTATCCCTACGTTGAAGTGGCACAGGTGCATTGCGAGTCGGTAATAACAACAATAAAAAAATATTCTGTTTTCAAACGGGCCTCAAAATTGAAGTTTCTTTTTTTTGTTTCCAACACACGGCCCATGGATGATAGGCCCATATTTGGACACCTCAGTCCTCAAAATGAAATTAAAGTGAGATGGAGAGAGAGAAAAAAAATCTAACCGTGCCAGGTTACGATCAACACCAGGCGACTGGTGCCGAGCCCATCGACGCAGCCGCCCAATCCCCGGCCCGGTCCCATTCATATCCTCCCCACGGCGCGCGGCCGCGCGGGCACCACCCGCCACCCAGAATCCCAGATGCGCAGCCGACCGGCCACGGCCAGGATGGCAGCGGGGCCCACCCCATCCGCCGCGGCGGCTTCGTTCCGGCCGCCGATCCCGCCGCCGCCGCCGTGCTTCGATTACCGGGCGGCCGTGCTCGCCGACACGCGCGCCGCCGCCGCGGGGAACCCCGCGCTGGCGGGGCTGGTCGAGTCCGGCGCGCTCGTGCGCGTCCCGCGGCGGCGGTTCGGCCCGGTCCCGGCGTGGCGCCCGCCGGACTTCGTGGAGCCCGACGAGGTGTGGATCCTCGGCACCTCGCACCTCTCCCCGGACTCTGTCGCCGACGTCGAGCTCGTCCTCCGCGCCGTCCAACCCGACAACGTCGTCGTCGAGCTCTGCCGGAGCAGGCAAGGCCATGCCTTCCCTTAATAAACATTATTAAGCCGCTTAAACTAAAGAAGTGTTGTCAAATCTTCTCCCGGGGTTAATTGACGCCATTGCAGAGCCCTCACTACAGAGCTGGAATCATGTACGTGTCCACTGATTCTTCCGACGAGCCGCTTTTGAAGTCCAACATGTTCTCTCTTGGTGGCTCCAAGTTCTTCGGTGCAGTCAACAGAAGTATCAACCTGGGTAAGAGCGACCGACCACTGCCTTGTGTTTACCACTTCTCATCAGCCATGGAACGACTGAGACCTGCTGATTTTGTTGGTTTCTTTGGGATGGTACAGGTGGTCAGAGCGCCCTTGCTCTGCGTCTGCTCCTCGCTGTTTTTTCTTCTAAAATTTCTTCCAGTGCGAACCGGCCGTTTGGAGAAGAGGTAGGTGCTTGCTCATAAACTGACATGTAAGTTTTCTTCAGATGTTATGTGACAATATAGCAACTGAATTCTACTACCATATACTGTGTTTTGGTAGTTCCGGGCAGCTAGGAGGGTGTCTGAAGACATTGGAGCTCAGCTTGTTCTTGGCGATCGCCCGATTGAAATAACTGTATGTGGCTTATTAGCTGAACAATGGTTTATTTTAATGGTATTTGTACACTGAGCTTGCATTGCTAACTCTGGAAAGTACAGCTGATAGAATAGCTGAAGCTCATATCAGATTGTTCATGCAGCTTGAACGAGCATGGAAATCCCTTACCTGGGATCAAAAGACAAAGCTACTCATCTCACTGTTCCGCGGAATTACGTCGACAACTGACACGCCAGTAAGTACTTGTATTCATTTGTCAGTCCTCAGTGGTAATTGCCTAAAAGAAAATGTTGCCAGTCCTTTTAGTACAAGAATGTATCATGAACCAAATGTTGGAGAAATCATTTTTTACTGCCGTTGTCTGTTGACATTCTTGTTTGATTATTACTATTGTAGCAGGATGAAAAAACTGCCGTCAGCCCATATGAGTTGTATCAGAAACTTAGCACATCTTATCCTGCACTGTTGCAGTCTCTAATACATGAACGCGACATGGTATGAGTTTATGATTCTGAACAGCCTATTTAAATCCTCCACTCTTGCAGAACATGCAACTATGTGAATTTTTTAATTGCATCAACCTTTGCACCATACTTCAATCATCCATGCCTCTAGCAGTTCAGTTAAACTCTGGATGCTTTCTTGCAGTTCCTTGCATGGTCGCTGAAGAGGAGCAAGGCTGTGAACAAGAGCAAAACTGTTGTCGGAGTTGTAGGGAAGGGGCACATTAATGGCATTGTGTACGCGCTGATCTCTGATCAAGGGGATTTGAGATTCCGAGACCTGGTTGGTAGAGCATCATCTGATACATGGGTTAGCTCACTCATCAAGGGCCTGGTAAGGGACACTATAATAGGATTGGTCCTTTGGGCTTTGTATGAACAGCTGCAGGGTGTGCTATAGATGAAGACTTCCACAATGTACACAAACTCACAGTACAGTACTGAACTTTTTACTAGCTGAAACTTAAACTTCGATTCAGCACAAATCTGAAACTTAACAGTCCAGATTCTCCACAAGGATGATGACTTGATTGAAGTACCTCTAGATGAACTGTCAAGCACAGTTTTATCTTCTGAATATATCTACACAAGACAACAAAACACTACCTGTATTTTTTCTTCTTTTTTCTTTGCCATTTCATATTTGGGCAAAGCAACAAAGATGCATTTTGTGCTTTAATCATCCTGTCACCCTATGCAGGACACTGGTAAATATGCTTGGAGAAAACCAATAGATTTTGAGAAAATTCTGATGGAATTTCCTCTGAAACCTGAATGACCAGAACTTGTTGAGGAGCTGGCATCCTGGCTGCTGTGCCTGCTGCGGATTGTACAGTTACCCTTGGTAGTAATGCCTTTGAGATTTTTTTTTTGCCATCGCCAACATGTGGCTTTTCTAAGTTGCCATCGCCATAACGAGCTTTGCAAAAATGCAATTGTGGACTGATTGATTACCCTGCGGCGAGGATCTGCCGAAGTTAATTTACCAAAACCGAGTTGATTCGTTGGTGCCATTGTCACTAGGAAGTTACAAAGCACCTAGGTTATTTTCTTGGTGCCAATGTCACTCTAGTTGGCGCGAGATGATCGTTGTTTGCTGTGTAATTCAGTATTCTTTTGTAGGAAAGTGCAGTTTTATTTTTTCAAGCCAAAGGAAAGGCATGTTCACCGTTTTGAAAACAGAGGAAAAGAGAAGGCCGAAAACAGAAAGGCCTACAAGGCCCATGTAAGTTAGTGCGTCTATGGATGGTTATGTGCTAAAGGAATGCTGAAAATGTCCACTTCAGGTCTTCTATTTTTAACGGACTGAGTTTGGCCCGTGTATGATCTTGTTGTGTCAGTATTCAGAATATTGAACATAATACTCAATTTGTGAAAATGCAGTCATGCATACTGCACATTAGCAGTCTACTGGTTCAGAAAAATCCATATATTACCTTTCTAATTGGAGAAAGAAAGAAATTCGTGTGTCGATACCAGTCCTTGACTCCATGAAGCTTGGTAATATCCAACTAGGTACGCAAAATCCAAGCAACATATATATGGATTTGACCAAGCTCATAAGCAATTCAAGCAAAATCCAAGAAAATCCGTACTCCGAATCAGAATTAATTATGAACTAAGGTATTGTGTATAGCTTGGTAGTATAGTAGCTAGTACACCACCAGTTATGCAAAATCGAAGCAAAATCCGAATTTGACTTATGAACTAAGGTATCGTGTAGCTACAACCGATGGACTCAAACTAGAACTTGGGGACCATGAACCATCAACAAGGCAATATTATGACCTGAGGGAGTATCTTATCATCTTATGGCCCCGTTTGCTTGGCTGAAAAAACAAGTCAAAACACTGTTCCGGCTGAATTATTGTGAGAAAAAAACACTGTTCCGGTCTCGTTCGCTTGACCTTATAATCCGTACTATTCAGCTTGTTTTTTCAATCGGAACAGTATTTTTCTCTCACAACAGTTCAACCAGGACAGTGTTTTGGCTTGTTTTTTCAGCCAAGCGAATAGGGCCATAAGATGATAAGATACTCCCTCAGGTCATAATATTGCCTTGTTGATGGTTCACGAGCAAGGAAAGGACATCCAAGTTGAATCGGAGGAAGAAGCTGTCAATACCAGTGGCCATATAGGCACTTAATTTCTGTGAACTTAATCAAGACAAATAATGCATGCAAACAACTTGAGTACTTGACTATAACTCTAAAACAGCTTCACTATTATATATTAAAAATGTAGTACGGTGTTTTTCTCCCTAGCTTAGCGCCCTGAGCTGGGTAAGGGTAAGCAGTGACAACATAGTAATCGTCGTTGTACTGATCTTAGCTTATTAGCTAATAACTGCATCTTTTATTTGAATATCATGTGATGATTCAAACAAAGGATAAAAATGTGCAGGAAATCCACGAGATGAAACTCGGAGGATAGGAGGACAAGTATTGTGAATATGTCAAAACGCTAAACTACCACACGCATTAATTTGAATTCATTTTTTTTTACCTGTTATGATACCGTGTCATACTGAACTCAACGTCACCGTCCCAAAGTAAACGCATACCTCGCTTTCCGAGGAGTCAAGCGTTGTAAAGTTTAACTACATTTTATACAAAAGTATACCAATATTATGCAGTATAATAATTATCATTAAATTAGAATATGTTTTTATAACAAACTTATTTAGAGATACAAATGTTGATACTGTTTTTTTTATATTTCTAGTCATCGAGAAGCGAAATACACGTTTATCTTGGGACCGAGAGGGAGTACTGTCAACCTAAGATATAGTGTATATATATACACGTAGAAGCCAAATGTGCAGAATAAAGGACAGATATATACCATGCATCATATGTCTGGTGCGCTGCACACGTGTTGAGGAAAACGGTTGCGAGGCAATTTATTTGCACGATGAGCTCCAAACTAAAAGGAGCCGATCGAAAGGCCATCTGTAGCTGTACTGCCTGACGACTTCTCGCGTGATCCACTTAACGATCGCATCTGCACTTATATATATACGACACACACAATTTCTATACGTACTTATTAGTACGTACGTCTATGTTGGCTGCCTTTTTCCAAGCTGATCGATCACCCAACAAAAGGTCCCTGATCGATCCACTGTGAGGCTTAGGTATACGAAATGGCTATATATATATATGCAGACGCACTGGGTGACGCTAAGTAGTAGCAGTAGTATAGTGCAGCTGGCGACCGGGGCTGTTCCTTGCAAAAGACTGCCTCTATTATTGGTGCAGCTGGAGCCGGGCGGCAGCAGTAAGCACGGCCCCAGGTCTACTCAAACGGCTCCCACAAGACACAACGCGTGGGGGAGTGAGCTGAGCTCTGCCGGCTGCCGCAGTCGAACGAACCCTGGCCGGGCAAGCAGCAGCCACCAGCACATCGATCGAGATCACCTTGGGCATGCACGCATATTTTTCATCAAGAGTAAAAATGCATCGCGCTAGTCCTGGAAGGAGTTTAAGGAGAGGAAGGCGAATAGAGAGGAAGAGATCGAGTCATCGTATAGTCAACAGCTGACAATATATAGGTTTATAGTGCTAATTATTTGTAGAAATCATGACCTGATGTGATATGTCTAGCAAGTTTGATGGTCTAAATGTGTACTATTTTGGAAGTTTAGAGACCTTGGCACTCTTAGGATAGTCTGACTACCACGTCAGCTTCTGTGCTGTGTTGGTACGTAACTGTACGCACTGATGTGTCACGAGATATTAAACGCAAAATAAATTAGATGAAACCTCCAATACTGCCATTATTAGTCCAGTTTGAGCTTCCGGCCACCAAGGGTGTATGTAGTGTAATAATAATGAAATCTTCACGCGGGACACGTGCAAAGTTCAGGTGCAGCAACAGCAACCAGCTAGCGTGCACTGTAGTCTTGGCCTCTGGGGCCTATTATCGCTGCCTTGGTCTCCCAGGAAGATGGGAGCTGGGAACGAAGAAATGATTAAAGCGAAGGACTGGAGCTCAGCGCACTAGCTCACTGCATCTCAGCGCCGTGTACACGTTTGCAGCCGTGAAGGACTGATGAACCCGTAAGGCCAGCGTCCTCTTGCGCACCGCACTGCACGCACGGCGGCCCCGCGCCGGGCGGCCGGGGACAAGTACGTCTCGCGAACGTGCGGCGGCACGCGACGACGACGACCCCCCCGATCGACGCCAAAAGGTAGTAGCCAAAAGGCGAGCGGAAGGGAACCTGGCCAGCTGGCCGCAGCCCCACCCACCCGGGGGCCGCGCCGGCCGGGGCTTTTAGCGGAGCCAATGTGCCGTTGCCGCTGCCGGCGTCTCGGTAGATCGATGCACGGACCACGCGCACCATGCAGGCATTCGATGGTCGCGAGCCGATCGTGCCAATCACTGGCGTACGTGGCCCGTGCAGAAACTACAAACTATAGCCCGAAGCAGACAGACGCGAACCACACAAAAAAAGAAAAAAAGCAGACAGACGCGAGTCGAGACCACCTGTACGTACGTGTGCGGTGTGCACGCCAGGGCGCGCGTAGGGCTGGCCCTAGCCGCCTGGCATGTGTTAGATGACGGGTCGCCACCGTGCATGGCGGCGCGCCTTTACGCTGTCGCTCCCAGCCGATCGGTGCCGGTGGCGTGCATACCCACGCATGTGCATGTGCGATGAGCCGATGACCTCCGATGTCCGTCCCGCGCGCTCGCAAGCCGCAGTCACGCTTCGCTCTGCAACCTAAGTGGCATTGCTCGGCCTGTCGGTCCTGCATGCGCGCGGTCCATGGCGCGGCACTGTCCAGGTCCTGCCGCCCGCGCCCGCGCTAGCTTTCATGCCGATGATCTCCATTGGCTTCGGCTTGATGGACCTGTCCGCCCTCCCGGCCTGTAGCACCGGGTTCGCGGACTCGTGCGCATGCACGGGCGATCGAATCGGAGACGAGATACTGTGCGGCTCGTGTGCTCGACAGCGACGTGCCATCTGACGACTGACGACGACGACGGGTGACGAACTGAGATTGGTTCGGTTTCATTCCAAGTTGCATATATGGACACGCGACGACGGAGGAGATAGAAGGGCCAGGCTGGGGCAGCGCCCACACCTACAGCTACGTACAGGGCTATCCTCTAACTAACTCTCTCTCGATCAGCTGGCTGGTGAATCACAGACAGCGTAGTACATGCTCCACATTATTGATAGATCGTCGACGGTGGACCAGGATCATGTCGCTTTCACGTATGTTATGGAACTAAAGAAAAGCTTATTATGACCCCCGCTCGTGATCCATCACCACTAGTCAGCACTACGATCGAGTGCTTGGCAGCAACGGCATGATGCATACTCCACTCCTAGCTACATGATATATATATGTATGTATAGGCAAGCTTGGCAGTTTTACACAAGTTGCTAGCTAGTAGCTTGATACTTTAATTTTTCTCCCATATGTATGAGTATACATGAATTGAAAAGCCCCATATACATACATGAGTGCCGCCTGGACCATGCATCCGGACAATCATATCGCGGATCGAGAACA